TACCCAGGTTGCAGGTTTGATCCCCAGTCCAGGCACACGTACTGGAGGCAACCAATCGATATTCCTCCCTTCCTCTCTCTCATAAAAAACAAATCCTCAGGTGAGGATTAAAAATACTTTTAAAATAAGGGGGAAAATCATTGTGACTTTGTGTATCTTTAAAAATGTCTAAATGATCCTCCTTTGAATTATAAATGGTAAGGTAGATTACATGTTTGTCACAGCTTTTAACTATCTGTACAGGCTTTTTGGGCTAGAAAGCTGAGGGGCGGCTGGTTGGGAGAACAGGGACCAGGTCACAAGCCTCTGCCACTAGCGTTAACCGCACTGGGACAGCCCAATCCTGGGGGGGGGGGGGGGGGGGCGCCAAATCATGCATTAGCACCAACATGACCGACTAAATGAAGACTTTTATTTGGGGGTGGGGGAGACTAAACTACCCAGAGCATAAAGGTCTTCTTAAGGGTCTTGAAGGCACCTTTATCTAGAAAAGTTCAGGCAATGAACCCCACCAGCTCTTCTTCACCAGGCACCCAACAGAACCGGGGTGTGCTCCCCAGCTGCCGCTCACCCTGTGGGACACACACCACCTGAGACACGCTCAGGATGAGCAGGCCCTCCGGGGCCTCACTCCGACACCAAGGACTCACACACTGGGGCCCTGTGAGGAAAGCCAGCGAATGTGCAGAAGCCGCTCTCACACCTGAGAATGGCTCCAAGGGCCATCATCAACGTCTGTACTGAGAGTTTTGTGTCCAAGTCAGAAAGACCACTGAACACAGTGATTTTTTGGTTTTTAAACTGTAGTCCAGGTGTTCTAAAGTATTCATTTACACAACTGTGATCACTTCCACTTGCTTCTAAGAGATATCAGAAGCACAAAGACAACCTAGACAAACGGGAGCAGGTTTCAGAACACCACCCTGCCTCCACCCACTCCGAACTCTGGACCCACACCTCCGAAACCCCTCCCAGTCTCTGCGCCCCAGGTACAGATCAGTCCCACTCACGCTTTTGGTAATTCAGACTTCTGACAATGCTGAACTTCGAAGTCAGAAAGTCGAGATTTTCAGATCATTTGCAGTTGTTTATATATAAAACTAATTTGCTCAGCCCCGGCTGGTGTGACTCAGGGGACTGAGTGCTGGCCCGAGAACCAAAGGGTCGCTCACCAGTTCGATTCCCAGTCAGCACACTTGCCTAAGTTGCTGGCCAGGTCAGATCACCAACAGGGGGCGAGAGAAAGGCAACCACGAATTGATATTTCTCTCTTTCTCCCTCCCCTCCCATCTAAAAAGTAAATAAAATATTTTAAAAAGAACAAAACCCTAATTTACTCAATACAGAAATTTCACAGGTAATTTCATGACAAGACAAAATGACAGAAATCTAGGGAGACTACTCATACATTACAAAATGCTACTGGATGAATAGGAGGAAACTCTCCATCAGCTGAATAACCCTAACACATCCTCAGCACCATGGAAATGTAAGCATTTTGCCTGCAGAACCACAGCCGGTGGGAGCTGCCTGACCTGAATGGCAGTGGTACACTGCGCAGAATCACTGCACCCCGGAGGCCGTGCGAACCGGGAGGCCCTTTCCCAGTGTTAGTGCCTCAGCGTGTCTTGCACTCTGTGCAGAGCTTCGTGAATGATGGGATTACACAGGAAAACTCGGTCAGACGGACTCAAGCACGCAGATCCCAGGCGTGGGGTTGCAACGGGCAGACCCAGTGAGCAACCGGCAGACCCAGCAAGGGCACGGGGCAGTGGGTTGACTGTGGTCGTGCATTCCTGTGCAGATAAACCAGCGAGGGAGTGTGGGCAGTGAGATGGGACTGAGCAGGCCCCAGCAGCAAGAGGCAGCAGAGGGGGCCACCATTTCCCTGCTCTGACCCCGCCCCCACATACAGTGTCCGCTCCTCATACTTAACAGGCGCAAACAGACCAAAAATTGCTCAAGAAGATCTCAAAGCCCCAGAGCCCATAACTCTAAGCGACAAAGAAATAGCAAAACTTTCAGATGCACAGTTCAACACACTGCTGATCAGGATGCTCACAGAACTGGTTAATTTTAGTCACAAATTAGAAGGCTAAACTAATTGAAATGAAGGGAATTGCACAGGAAACCAATAGTGATGAAAAGGAAACTGGGACTCAAATCAAGGGAGTGAACCAGAAGGAAGAAAAAAAATGGCCAAACAGAATAGGATGAAGAAACAAGAATTCAAAAAAAATGAGGAGAGGCTTAGGAACCTCCAGAACATCTTTAAATGCTCCAACATCCGAATTATAGGGGTACCAGAAGGGGGAAAGGAACAGCCACCAGTGGAAAACTTATTTGAACAAATAATAAAGGAGAACTTCCCCAATCTGGCAAAGGAAATAGACTTCCAGGAAATCCAGGAAGCTCAGAGAGTCCCAAAGAAGTTGGACCCAAGAAGGAACACACCAAGGCACATCATAATTATATTAGCCAAGATTAAAATGAAGGAGAGAATCCTAGAAGCAGAAAGAGCTAAGGGGACAGTCACTTACAAAGGAGTTCCCATCAGACTGTTAGCGGATTTCTCAAAAGAGACCTTACAGGCAAGAAGGGGCTAGAAAGAAGTATTCCAAGTCATGAAATACAAAGACCTACAACCAAGATTACTCTATCCAGCAAAACTTTCATTTAGAATAGGACAGATAAAGTGCTTCTCAGATAAGATCAAATTCAAGGAGTTCATCATCACCAAGCCCTTATTATATGAAATGTTAAAGGGACTTACCTAAGAAAAAGAAGATAAAAAAGATGAACAGTGAAAGGACAGAAAATTCACAGTTATTAACAACCACACCTAAAACAAAAGCAAACTAAAAGGACAGCTAGGTCAGGAGCGGAAACATAGAAATGAAGATCTCATGGAAGGTTAGCAATAGGGGAGTGGGAGGAGGGGAAGGGGGGAGAAGGTACAGAAAATAAGTAGCATAGATGGTAGATAGAAAATAGATGGGGGGGCAAAAATAGTATGGGAAATATAGAATCTAAAGAACTTGAGACACATGGTCATAAACTAAAGGGGTGGATGGTGGGGGCAGGGGAGTGCAGGGTGGAGGGGAATAAAGGGGGAATAGAACAACTGTAATGGCATAATCAATAAAGTTTTTTAAAAAAGGAAAAAAAAAACATTGTGATTCTTACTTCACAGCACACACCCCCCAAAATAAATTTCACATGGATTAAAAATTTAGAAGTATTAAAACAAAATATCTTTAAAAATTATGGTTAGTACTTCTGATTATAAGATGAAAAATATTTTAAAACAGTGGCAGAATTTACAGTGAAAAATGTCAATAGATTAAGCCATAAAAATCAAACTTCGTAAAAATAAAAAATACATCAATAGAAAATAAACCAGAAAAAGTCAGCAACAAACAGGACCAAGGGTTAAGATTATTATTATACAAACAGTACAACACCCCACAGAAAGAGCACAGTGAGCAATTTGCAAATAAAAACTGCTCTGGTTCACTAGCCATCAAAGGAATTTACAGTATCAAATTATAAAAATTAGTAAGACTCAAAAATAAAAAAAATGTAAGTGGAGCACCTTGACCTGCCGGGCAAGTGTTAAGTGATGGGTTTTTGCAAAGCAACCTGATAATACCAGTCAGTTACCTTCTTCCTGCCGCCTAGTCTGTAGCCAAGTGGTGCCCTTCTCAAAGTCTGAAGAAATATCTGTGCATGTGGACAAAGATTTCTGCCCGATTTTATTCATGAATAATGATTATACTCTTGCAATACTGAAAACAACACCCAAGATCAGAGAAACAGCCATGAGAGAGTATCATGAATCCATAAGAAAAAAATATTAGGAAAACACAAAAATTATATTTACCATTTATTATCTGTAATAACATGGGAAGTATTTAATGTGAGCTGTAAAAGCAGAATATAAAGCTTTACATAAAGTATAATTATTTAAAGATAAAAATAGTGACTGATTGCCTGTGGTGGCAGCGGTGTGGCTAGTTCCTCTGTTGACAGTTTGCTGTATGTTCCAAATATTCTACTGTGGCCACGTTTTATCAATACATATTGACAACCCGAATAATAAAGAACACTGAAAATATAAGTTTTTAAAGATTTTATTTATTTAGAGAGAAGGGGAGGGAGGGAGAAAAACAGAAAGAAAAATATTGATGTGTAAAGATACACCAATCAGTTGGCTGCCTCTCACATACCCCCAACTGGGGACCTGACCCTCAACCCAGGCATGGGCACTGACTGGGAATCAAACCAGTGACCCCCTCAGTTCGCAGGATGGCGCTCAATCCACTGAGCCACACCAGCCAGGGGTAAAAAGTAGAATTTTAAAGTATAAACAAGCATATAATACTCAACTATACACACACCCCTCCCCAAAAGCATACAGTTTATTTATATTCCCACCACTAATTTGCTGCTATGCAACTTGGCTCTGTACAGACAAATTCAACTTAGTAATTCAGAGAAATAACTGGGGTTCGATGGCTCTGGCCTAGTCACGTTTACCTGTCTTAAGAGATAACTTCTGAAGACCAACTCGAAGCCCTTTCACTGCAGGGCTCTGTCAGTCACAAAGATGTACTGGTGACTTTCTAGAAAACACAGAGCACCCATGATCCCGTTGTGGGAGATCAGGAGCCGGTCACAGGTGTAGTGAGTGCAGAGGAAATGGCAGAGGAGGTGACAAAGTGGTGTGAGGAACACACCTCAGACACGGACGTTGAGCTGCGAAGGCGAACAAAGAATGGCAAGACTCACTGCACGCGGGGCCCGGAGAGGGAAGAAGAGGAAGAACGGAGGAGGAGATCGAATGGCAGGAATATCATTTAACCTTGTTTTGGTTTTTTTTTTTCCCCTAAACAAAGGGGTAAGAAACACCAGCAGACCACCGGGAAGGAAACTGACAGAACAGCGCCCAGCCCCGGCACCAAACTGCCCCCCCCAGGGCGGGCCCCCCATCCCACAGCCCTGCCAACAGAGCAGCACCGCAGGGCACACCGGCACTTGTCCAAAACAGTATGTGAGGAAGTATTTGTTTTTTTAATGTTTAACCAACAGGCTCTGCTGTGTCTCTGTGTTCTGAAAAATAAAAAAGGCTAAGGCATATACACAAAAACACACCACACGTTTTATCCTAGTTGAGGCTCCGGTGTGTTTGAAACAGAATTCGAGGGTGGACCTGGGGTCGCACATGAACTTGGGCCCACGGCACCGCTGCAGAAAGAACCCAGGCTCCGCGGGAGGCAGCGGTCTCTGCCCTGCCGACTCGGGGCCCTGCCCTCCGCGGAGGCTCGGAGCTGCGGAGCCCGGGGAGGGTGGAGAGGCGCCTCCAGGGGCGAGTGTGCGGGTCTGTTCTGCACTGCTCAGAGCGCCACCGCGGCGGGGCGGATGCAGCTCAATGTCCACACTGCGGCAGCGCAAAGTTCCAGTCCGCGTCGTCCAGAGCTGCTCACGCCGGTGCAACCTGGACAATTTTTCATCTGTCTACGTCTCACCCGTGCTATTACTTAATGTTTTCTTCCGATCAACTTGCTTTTTCTGAAAACTGAAACACCTGCACTATTCTCGTAAGAAAAATAATCTGTAAGTGAACAGTAAAATATAAGAAGAGAGAGAGATACCAATTAGACAGATACAGAGATGCCTAGAAAACCTGTGACCATGCCACCACCTGGCAACTGTCATCTGCCTCCTCACCACGCAGCTGGCATACTTGCACAATTCTCACATAATTCAACTTTCAAATATGTGTATTTGATCTGTCACATGTATAATTATTGCTCCACTTTTTCTTTCACATTCTTTCCCTTCTTTATACCTCTTGTTTCATAAGAGAGGTGCTTAAGAAATTCTTGTGGAACTGAATAAAATCAATACAAACCAAACTTATGGCCACAACAAACTGTGTATTTGTATCAAGCACAAAGATCCCTTCATTTTAAGCTTCATACTTCCTTCAGAGGAAGGCCTTGGCCAAGCGGTTTACATTCTCTGGAATTATAGGTCACAGTAACTTTCTGTAAGTCTCTAGAACCTTCCACACCAAGTGGGACAGCTTTAGAGAGTATGTATAACCTGGAGACTCTGGAATTTTATAAGTTAGCCTTTAATAAATTGTGTTAAAGTATTTATTGAAGTATTTAATAAATTGTATTAAGTATTTATTTTAATTAAAAAAATTGTTTTTCAGAAACACAGGCCTTTCCCTGTCACCCACCCCCCACAAGACTCACATGAAAACACTTAAAGTAGAAAAAGAAGAAAAAGTCAAATCAAAGAAAAAACAGAAAATGAGTTCACAGCATGTGATTTACTTCTGGACTCTCTTTCTCCCTTTGGAACCTTGAAGAGAAAATAAAGAAATTTAAAACATTAGTCATTAATTTATAAAAGCAAAAGAACAGAACTGTAAGTATTTCCATATAGATATTAATAGTTTAAATTTATTGATCATGATGATTTGTGGAGATGAAATTCTTACACAAAGGTATCACTGTTAATACATTGAACATTTTAGAAAATTGTGTCAATTTTTTAATGTGTCAAGAAATATGCTAACAAAGTCTACTTTTAAGTTCCAACAAAACTCTTCCACTGGTAAGACATACCTGGTTTACACTGCTCCCGAAGCAAAATACTTCTCAAAAAACAAACAACAACAAAAAAAACCTGTTGTACAATTTAAAACATTAACCCTAATGTAAACTATAGAAACAAGATACGAAATCATTCCTTGAGGGAATTGATGAGATTATGCATCTTATGAAAAGCAAGACTTTTTATTCTAAATATGCTGCCTTTTACTGATAGATTTCAACCGTTATTCTATTAGACTTGTCCGAAGTTCCCCCTCCGCCCTCCCCCGCCCTCCTCAGCCCAGCCCACCTCCCGCTCCCACGTCAGTCCCCACACGCCCCACTGCGTGGCCTTCAGAAACCTGTCACCTACACTGTGTGGGCAGGACAGCAGGGGACTATCCGCAAAGTCCTCACCACTAGGGATTGAGTGGAGCCCAACGGCACTGCCTTCTAGAAGAGAACTGGTCTGCGTAACTTATGGCAGCCCTATGCAACTGCCCCTGGGCTGACATAACCTGCGATTTTTTACTGGGAGCATGAGACTTTGGTCTCACCAAAGAGCCTTTGTTCCCAGCCACCACCCCTGCCCCTCCCACTCGAGCCCAGCAGAGCCAGGACGACCAGTTTAAGGCCGATCACGATGCCGAGCACTGCGCTCTGCCAGCGTGTGGGGCAGCGTGGCGGCCTGTGATCAATCAGAAAACACACCAAACAACAAGGAGATCAATACTTCCTTTCTGAAATGTACAAAACATTCTTTGAATCTAGGACAAACTGTCTACAACACATGTCTAATAATAAATAGTGTCTAAAGGTTTTCTGATTACCAATTTATTTAGTCACTTAACTGGAAGATCAGTTTAAAAATTAGTGTTTTTTCTTTTAATCTTTCCAATTTCTTGTTTCTCTTAAACTGCCATACATTGAACCAGTGATTTTCCACCAGTGCACTGCAAGAACTTCTCAAACATGCAGCTCCGGACTCTGCAGTTGGGGGCACGGACTACTTCTCCCTTAGACTGTCCAATGGGAAAAGTGACGACAGACAACACTACAGCTGTCAGGTGTAAATCAAAATTATACCTATTTCTGCCAGGCAAAAATGTATTTTCTGGTGTGCTACAGAATTCCAGGTATTAGTGCATGTGTGCCATGCGATGAAAAAGGTTTAAAATCACTGCACTAAATTAAAAGCAAATTTCAAACATATGTAACTATCTTTTTTTCTGCCACTCAAAAGTATAGCCTATAACTACTGTTGGTTTAAACTTCGGAGTTTTTCCCTCAATTTTTATAATGTGGCCTTCTTTTAAAGTATCCCATGGTAGATTCTTAAGTGTTTATATCAAGAATTTTGAAATTAATTTGGCATAGAAAACTGAAAATGCTGTGATCTTCTGAGATCAGCTAAATGGTATCACACGATCAGGGTCAATAATCGATACCATAGCACAACTCCCTTTCAATAAATTTTGAATCTGTAGTCAAACACTAAGAATACTAAAGTTGACAACAGTTGCAGCCATGTCCAAGTGGTATTGTTTCATTAGCGTCCTAATTCGACATTTCACTCAAATGAAGTATCATTGCTGCTGGATTTCAAGTCCACTGCCACAGCCACCTGGAATTCATTACATCATCTGCCACATAATCACTTGGATGCAACTCAGACACCTTGCTCATGTGTCCATTCAGTACTTCCCTAATCATTCCAACTGCTGCGGAAAACTTTACTTCTCATCTCTAAAAAATATACTCGTTTCATAACACATTACTGCTGGTAAAAGTTCCCATCCCAAAACAAGTACGTGTAAGACGTAATATCTGAAAAACAGAATGTGAAGTTGGGGGACACTCTATGAATTTATAACACAGCCAGAGAAAACAAGTGGAAAAATCTATGCAGGAAACCCTTAAAAACATCTCTCCCTGGACTAGACCACAGATATTCAAGAGGTAACTGTAAATTATGCTTTCTTCAAAGAATCCTCAAGAATGGTCCAAAATCCCAGGTACTTCAAAAATAAACACCACTGAGACCCCTGTCACCCGCTGCCCACTCTGTGAGCGACGGTGGCAAAGCGCCGGTGCACCAGCCATGGTATCGTGGCTGCATCGACTGATTTTGAGCCCAGTTCTGAAATACTGGCATGGTTTTAAAATGCCAGAATATACATGGCTTTTTAAGGTTCATCATTCTTTGGGAGAAATTATTTGCAGCAAATAACCAAATTTTCTCAATTGATAAAAATTATGCTTTGCATAAAAATAAAGGATTAGCAGCCTCTGTTCTTCTCGAAAACCGCCCCTCGCCCCGTCTCCTCCGTCTCCTCCGTCTCGTGCTGCGAGAAAACCCACACGGTGTGTGTCCTGAAAGCTTTCGGAGTGTGTCCCTGCACAATAGACCCCCGACCAGTTGAAATGAGTTTAGGTGTGTCAGGAAAATTATACGCGTTTTCACAATGGTCTAAACAGACATTAAAGGGAAGCAGGTCCCATTTTGCTAGGCACAGCGCTCAGAAAGATCGTGCAGTGAGAAAAATCTCTCACCATATTGTAAACCACAAGTTGTGTTTGAAAATAAAATTGTTAATGAAGAAACTGACATTTCTAAAGCTGCTGTTAGAGGTAACCATTCTTCAAACATGCATTCACGGAGTTGGATTACATTAAAAAAAAAATTCAAACGTAATAATGTGCTTTCTTCAACTTACTTTAAACTGATAAATACAAAATATACATTTTCCTGACCCCCTGGCTTTTTTCTTTTTTCTTTTTTTGGCTATAGAACCAATAATATTTTATCATCTCAGGAAAGATTTCTCTCATTTTCGAATAGATAGTAAAATTCCTTAACTAGCCTTTTACTTTAGGGAAAAAATAAATTACAATGGGAAACTAAGCAGTATTTAAGCAAAGCAATTCAGAGTTATGTGAATAAGGGAGAATCTTATTATTCCTCACATTTTTATAACAAAAAATATTTGATTGTCCTTTAATTAGCAATGGGATCCACTCTCTCCTTTTGTCATTAAACAAAACAAAAATATTAATATATTTTCTCACAATGAAAACTATCAGTATAAGGACCTTCAATTAAAATTTCAGGTATAAATGACATTATTTTATAATTATAATCAAATTAAGAAGCATTTATGTATCAAAACAAACACCTCAGATGCCCGGTCAGCAAAGCCCAGGTAACAGTGACTCCAGGCATCAAGAGAAGCTGGGCCCTCCCCATGCACCCCCAAGGGCACGTGCGCTCACTCTGTCTGCGTGTGCAAACACTTCCATCTAAGTGTGCACTTCCATCTGCGTGTGTGTGCACTTCCTACTGCACATGCATGCACTCCAGTCTGCATATGTGCTCACTGAGTGTGCACACACTTCCATCTAAGTGTGCACTTCCATCTGCGTGTGTGTGCACTTCCTACTGCACATGCATGCACTCCAGTCTGCATATGTGCTCACTCTGTCTACATGTGCACTCACTTCCGACTGCATGTGCACACACTCCAGTCTGCATATGTGCTCACTGAGTGTGCACACACTTCCATCTAAGTGTGCATTCCGTCTGCATGTGCGTGTACTTCCTACTGCATGTGCACGCACTCCGGTCTGCATATGTGCTCACTCTGTCTACGTGTGCGCTCACTTCCTACTGCACGTGCACCAGCCTCACCAGAACTAGCTCTTGGCTTCAAGGGCTTTGAAAATTAACAATTTGGGACTTCGACTGCTTGCATCCCCACTTATGGAGAGGAAAGAGGGGCTGGCACTTTGTGGGCAATGACCAGGCGGGGCGGGCCAGCGGAGGGGCAGCTGCAGGCTGCACATGACTGAAGGACCCAAGCTGCCAGTCGCTGTGCGGGGACCAGAAGACTGGCAAGACCCGCAGCGCAGGCCTCTATGTCTAACCCGTTCCCAACGGCTCTGTCATCTACACTCACGGCGTCTTGGGCCACACGTCTGCAAAACGAGAGATGCTCCCGGCCCAACTGCACGATCACTGTGGACAGCGAATAAAACTGCCTGTGACAAAAGACACTGAGACACACCCTAGACAAACCTAAGACCTTCTCCTACAATACTGACTGACTGTAAAATGTCAGTGTGACGACCCAAACAGTCAACCCTTCGCTTCGTGACAGGAACGGGAATTTGTGTTTACACGTGGACAAAGACAATGGCCAAGACGGTTCGACTTACGGGTCTGCACGCCTTCCCCCGTCTGTGCATCCATGCATTCCATGTCTTCCACACTCGCTTCTGTGATTTTCTCAACTTCTCTCTTCCGCTGCTTACGTGTGGAAGTGCAAAGAGAGAGAAAGGGATGTGGTCTCGTGGTCAATAAGCAAATGCACAAACTCACTGTGTATTAGCACGCACAGGAATCTATACAGGTGTGCTGTGTCGAAACACACAGAAAGCACACAGCACTGCTCCCTTCCCTGATGGGGACACGTCCCCAGACCCGCAGTGCGCTCCTGAAAGGACCCTACACACAAAGTGTCCTACATTTCCCCCTGCACAGCCCTTTGCACCACACGGCTTCCCTCTGCCACACACCAACTGCCAGCATCACAGCTCTTGTGATTTGGGCCCAGCACTAAAATAAGAGCGACCAGAACACAAGCCCCGGAACATAAGCCCCGCGGCACCACACCAGTAAACCCGACGACCTGGAGGTCTACGGAGCGACCATCAGATGGTTCACGCATCCCATGGGATGGCGAGGGATTTCATCACACTGCTGAGCACAGTGCCTGATTTAAAACCCTTGAACTGTTTATTTCTGAAATTCCCCACTTACTTTGCTCAGACCACCATGACTGTGAGTAACTGAAACAGGAAAGAGAAATGAGGCCTTGGGGGTGAGGGCGGGTCTACTGTGCAGGACCTCAGGGACGGGGCACCTGAGAGAAGAAGGGATGGGGGAGGGAGCAGTGGGAGGGGCGAACCTTCAGCTACTCAGCAGTCTGGGCACACCTGTCCCACCCACACCTAACTTCTTCCGGTTCGTGCAGTTCGTCCCTGAAAGCCACGTTTTTGCCATCAGGGCTGATTACACAGAAACTCCCTTTCAAAGCCGACTATTTTATGAACTTGGTATCGCCACTCATTGAGGCTGATGATACTTATTCTCCCATTTTACACTATGTGTCTGTTTTTGATGGGGTATATATTTTCTTTCTATTTTTATTAGAAGTTTAAGAGGGCCATAACCCTTACTATAAAAGAAAGGTATTAAAAGTACACAATTCTCCTAAAATCTCACAAACAAGTTGGATTTTCCACCATTCTTTTGGGTCTTTCTTTTTTTTCTATTTATTTTTCCAGTTGAATGTTACTTAAAAGTTAATGCTCATCATATTCTGTAACCATCCATTCTTCCCAATTATTCATTCAACTTTTTATTCCTTTCCCTCACCACACCATTTTCTAACTAGTTCATTCCTGTGTAGTTTTTAAATCATTTAACATCCCTATATGTAGTTATAACCATATAGAAGGACCTTAGTAATAAATTTAAAACTCTGCATTTTTCAAACAACTTTATCCCATGTAGTCTCAAATTTAAATGTGTTAAAATGCAAATCATAACTGAAAGCTTCTCTAGGTTGCCTAAAGTAAGTCTGCATCATTTAGGAAATCATCTGAGACTGCGAATTTCAGACTCACAGCGCGTCGGAATGTCCCCCTTCGTGGTTTCCAGCAGGGAACACTGGGTTAAACCTCGTCTGAGACTGGTCCTGCTCCGGGCCAGCAGAGTGTGAGGCCTGCTGGGAGCGCCCCGGGCTCTGCCCAGGGAGAACTACTCCAGAAAGCCCAACTCCGCTCAGACCACATTCTGCTAACACCTCGGAATGGTCGCAACTGCTGCTAACTACGTATTAACTACGTATTACAATTAATCCCACTGTTTCTAAATATTCTCAAGGGGGCTGTGAAAGATTAGAGCTCAGAGATACTCACCATGTCCCTAAAGAAAAAGCTTCACAAATACGAGACTAACGACCTGACTGAAGCTTAGGAAACTTGAAAAGCATTCACTTAGCAGATTCGTATATGGGGGGATTCCTTCTCAAAAATAGCTGGAAAGTGGCTGCACCTTCATGTAACTGATGAGAGGAGGGGAAGTGCCTCACATCTCTCCTTTCCAAAGCGTTGCTTCATGATTACCATCTAAACCCTGCTGGGCTGAACAGATTGGTTCGATAATTACATACAATAACTGCGGTGGGCAGGTAACCCTCGGCTGGCACGGGCAGCTCCCCTGCGAGGGCTTCCATGAGCAAACCGCACTGATGGAGTGCATTAGGTCCGTCTTTCCTGCCGGCGCACAGGCCTGATTAACGCCAGCCGGGACTCCAAGGTTAGTGTCAGCAGATTTGTGATGCATTAGGCAGGAATACACACAGACACTTTTGTTCCCTCGGACCAGAATTAAGGAGGAATATTTCAGAGGCAGATTGCTTCCGTACAGGAGAAAATGCATTCTAGTTTTACGAAAGCAGGTTTCTAAATGCTCATTATAAAGGGAGCCGTCCGATAATTCTACCCAAGAACCTAGTGCATTCATCTTGTTTTCAAGCTCATTTAATAAAAAGGAGTTTTCTTAATCTCCATGCAGGTAAATGACACAGAACTGAAAATCAGACGGTATTCAACCAACGAAAGAAACACCTGTGTGGCAAGCAGGACGCGCTGGGTTACGCACGGAATTTCATTGATCCGCACTTCACCTGGGCCCTCCTGCCCGGCTTTCCTGGCGGTGTGTGCAGTTCAGTTAGAAAGAGCCAGTGGTCGACAGGCTATGATCTATTTGCTTTTTAAAAAACCAAAACCTTCAAGTTTGACAGTCTCCAACCACAACATGCCAAGTAAAAACAGCCACCAGGATGCAAAGTGCAGCGGCTGCGCGTGATGCCAGACGGGCACCAGACTCACCTCGGCGAGCACTTGGTCCGTAACTGTCTGACCACTGTGCTGTGTGCCTGAAACGAAGACAGTGCTGTACGTCGGCTGAAACTGGAAAATAATCCATTTGTTACAAAGCAGAGGAAGGGAATTCTGCTCCACACTACAACATAAATGAACCCGGAGGGAGCCACGCTCGGGAAACAAGGCCGACGGCGCATGGTCCCACTCCTGTGAGGACCTGGGGCAGCCAGGCTCAGACGGGGGCCGCAGGGAGAAGAGGAGGAGCTTATTCAGTGTTTGCTGGGGACAGAGTCTGCTCTGCAAGACGAAGAGTGTTCTGGAGGTGGGGGTGGTGAGTATCAGTGACCTGTGCACTTGGAAAATGGCTAAGATCTTATATTTTATGTATATTTTAACACAATAAATTTTAAAAAGCGGCATCTAAAAACGTTACTCATTTGATAAGGCACCGAGCACAACTCCAAACAATCTGTTGCCAGCTTGTCTCCTGATCACGCCCAAACGCTGCACTTTGTTATCTGTCGGCATCTGCGGCACCGGCGAGGGCACACACTTGTTGTCCCTGGGCATCCGTGGGGAATGGTTCCGGAGCCACCCCCGGGGGTGCTCAGATCAGAGGACGCTCCGGTCCCGGATATAAAACGGCGTGGTACTGAGCATGTTAGCCGTATGTGCACATAGACCACGCAGGGCGTGCCCACACATCTCTGCATTCACGTGGATTCAGTGCAGTGCTCAGCGCCCAGCAAATCCAAGTTCAGCTTTTAGAACTTTCTGGGATTTTTTTCCTTGGCACTTTCACTCCAAAAGTGATTAGACCCGCGGATGCAAAACCTGCAGAACAAAGAGCTGACCGTAATTTGGTTCTCTGAGCGGAAACCGGCTTCACCAAGTGACTATGCTGATCTCTGACCTCGCCACATTCCACGCCAGGTCGCACTGGCGCCCTCACTGGCACATACAAATGAAACCGGCATACAGGGCCGGCTTGCTGCCATCATGGGTTCATTCCAGAACTCGTGAGGAGCACCAGAATCACTAAGCACCAAACAAATGGCAGGCGCTGAAGCGTCTTCTCTTGCGGGACGACGTCATGACTCACAGACGTTCTAGCAACTGCAACAAGTCCCAAGCAAGCGCCAAGCACCAAAACATTTTTTCTCGTCAAAAACGATGAGAACAGGGTTTGATGAGTTATGAAGCCGAGGAGTCCCGAGGTCTGACTGTATCGTACAACGCACACAAGAATAGCTTAAAAACTTCCGATAGAGTTGTCTTTTAATTCAGCATGGCCATCTTCAAAAAATGGTTTATTTCAAGGGCATTAGCATATATAATACACATTGTATTTTTGAAGTATTCAAATATGCTAGGCTAAAATGTAGTTAATTAGCAGCTTCTCACTTCCAATTTAGAAAGAGAAAGACAAATCAGCTTGATGCATTTAGGCTGATAATTTGCTAATAGTCTAAATACTGACTGGAGACCAGTGATAGGCTTAAAGCTGTTTCAGTGGAAAAGAGAACACAAAATCTTCAGGGGCAAAAAAGCAAACAAACGGCAACTACAACAACAAAGCCAACTCTCTGCCTCCCAAGTCAAACTTCAGAAGATTTCGTCTGGATTTTCCAACGGCCTCGAGGAAAGCCAGCCAGAGTTGCGGCTGCAGCACAGGACGCGTGTACGTACTCAGGGACTACTGTCGGGCTTGTCTCCTCATTACAAAAGTCATCAAGGTTTATTATAAAAACTTAAGAATATATGGCCTAAATTGTTCAATGTTTGGTCCTGCATGTGTCAAAGAACAAAGAATTCTAAATACAAATGTGTCTGCACTAATCACTCTTACTGCGTTTATCTGATTAAGACCACTGCAACTCACCATGCCAATGTACACTTCCTAAATTACTATTACATTCCTTAACAATAACAAAAATAGGATATTTGTTACTGTAGAGTAACTAAAAAATAAAGATAGGATATACCTCTATGAAGGTAAGCCAAACACAGCTGTTTCACACAATATCTATAAAACCAGTGGATTTTAGTTAAAATTCACTACACAGAAAAAACACCCTGAGGCTGGGACAGAAGAAAGCTGAGAAGCTGCTCAGGGCTCTCTGCCGACAAAAAGACAGGAACTCGAGCTCTCCCTTCTCACCACCATTCCTTCCGCAGAGCCAGCGCCTCCCTGGGGACCCCGCCCACAGAGCGGCAGTTTCCAGTGTCCGCTGCGTGGAGGCAGCCCTTCCTGGAGTCGCAGCCCATGTCCGGCACTCGGCCTGGCCCACTCCCACGCTCCTCTCTATTTCTCTCCTACCGGGGGTGCTCCCAGAGGGCGCGGGCCCGGTTTTTCCTTATTTGCTGACCCCTCCCTGAGCAGGTCCTTCCACAGGAACACGGACCCCAACCTGAGCAGGGGTGGAGACCCCACCACAGGTTGCCTAAGCACCTACTGTGTGCCTGCCACTATTACAGGATTCATTCTCAAGTTGAAAAACAGCCACTAAAAAAAAGTTAAGGAAAAGTATCTTCAGCCTGTATAAAAACATCACACACACACACACACACACAATTAAATTTCTAAAACTATTTATGTATGAAATCGTTTTAGAATTCCCTAAATGACCCTTCTTAAGGAAGTATCCAATGTAATCCCACACATACAGAATTTCATTCCCTGAAGTAGCGAGCCACCCGCAAATGGAACGGATGCAGGCCTTCACGGTCACCCCTTGACTTTGTTCTGTTGTTTGTTATTGTTATTTGTTTGATTTACATTCTCTGTTGTCAATATTTTTAGTTATCTACTCTGGAGGTGGGAAGAGGAAGTAAGCCTCAAGTAATTTTGCTAACCCTGAGGAAAGGGCTCAGCAAAAGAAAATGCACAACTAAGAAAGTTTGTAGTATCTATGTTCTTCACCAGTTCAAGCTATCTCCCTCTTCTAATGCCATGAAGAGTGAAGAACTGACCATAATTTTCCGCAAATGGTGCACCAAAAATTACTGCTAATTCATGAGTGAGCCAAAAAATACCAGTGCATTTTAAGGCTCTGTCAAAATAAATAAATAAATAAATGAAGAAAATCCAGCTGGCAATCAGAATTGATTGCTTGATCCAAGGGCAACACATTTCTTAGCAAAAGCACTGCTTTCACGAAGTGGGCATAATATTGTAACAGGGTACAGCCAGGAGGGGGGGCCCAAAAAGGGGTATGGAACGGGGTCCAGAACTCAGGGTGTCCAGGAAATATAAGACATATAAGATGTCCCCACCCCTTACCTCCCACAGGTGTGAGTTGGGGAAGGGACAAACGGAGCAGGGCCATTGAGAGCTGTTTTGTACAGCAAAGGCTTTGCAGCTAACCTCTGGCATGACCAGAGGTTAACCTTTAACTGGCTGCATAGATATGTTAAATAGCTGTGGTCATGCTCTGAGCCAGGGGGATGGGAGTGACTGGCTCCACAACATGGGACCACACCTGCCCAGACTCACAATGGCAGCCCAGTAAACTTGGAATAACACAGGAATGCTGGCAAGTGTAGCCAATAGTAGTAGGAGGAGTCGGAAACAGGGCTGCAAAGGAGGACTGGCTCAGGGACTTAAACCCAGACACGACAGCCATTAAATGAGAGGGAACCACGTGGCTGTGGAGTGCAAGAGAAAGCCATGCGCTTCTGGCAGAGTGGGGACCCCTCACAGCCTTGTGAAGAAAAGAACCATGTGGTTTTGGCCAGAGTGCAGACCTCTGAAGCTTTAGTAGGGGGAACCACCATGAGGCTTTAGCAGAGAATCACCACTTGGCTTTGCCAGAGTAGTGACCCTACCCTCTCCGTGGCTCTGGTGAAGGAAAGAAAGGACTTTGCCTGGAAAAAGGGTTAAAGAACTCTTCACCAGTAGGCCATGAGAAGGTGCCACATGGCTTTGGAGTAATTAGAGATCCTGCCTGGACGGCAACCGACCGGACAGTGGCAGGAACCTGGATCCCGGACGTGTGCTTCTTTTCCTGAGTTACGGTACCCCGAATTAGGGCAGGGGGAGAAGGAAGCACTGTGGGCGTCTATGGCTATCCTAAAGGACTTTGATATTTTAATGGGGCCATTGGGTCACTACTTTAAGTCTGTATGGCTTTAAATAAACCTTTCCTTTCCTTTTCACAAATCTCTGTCATTGAGAGATGTCTTTCCTCTGACAGGATGAGACAAGCCCAGTAGGTGGTCCGTACGGTATTAGTATACCGTCCTTGTGGGTGAACCCCTGTTGTTCTGTAACAATATGTCTGCTTGCTTATCTGGAGCGAATGTGTTTGCATCCCTTCGGGGGCTGGGCCTGCTGAGGATGGAGAAGGGCTGCTCCAGAGGCCAGTGACCCTTCATCTTCTCAGAAAAAACACGCGGCCAACGAGTGGTGAGCTGAGTAACACGCTGAGCCTGGATCACATGATCTGCAGGAGTGCTATGTGCCAGAGATCTCACTCTCAGCAGATTCTCACATGATAATGGAAATCACAGCCTGGAAAAATCTCCAATAGCATTTCTGAAACAAACAAATACAATTTCCAATGGGCTGGCAACAGGGGCCTTTCCTGACTCTAATAAACTTAAATCACAAGGACTACAGAACTTCCAACATGGTCAAACCCACAGTCACTTCACAACGGAAAGAAGTTTCCAGAGTCAGTAAACTAAGGTCTAGAAGACTCTCTGTCCCTGCATTCTCTTCTAAGTTGGGATCAGAACTTAGTCCATTCACATGTTCCTCTGGGGGCCCCATGACCTGCCCCATTAATGTTGAAAACATCTATCAGTTAAGGTGTTTCGAGGGCAATTTATGAAGAGAGGCAAATAAGTGTCCAGTTATGCTGTAACTGTCTTAATATTTTATGCCTCACATTACAAGGAGATTTTTAAGTGCCTGGAGCACCAACAGGAAAAAAAGCGATATAAATGCCTAAGTTAGTGGTTGCATGGCCCCTGGACAAGGCACAGAACCTCTTTTGAATTTTAGTTTCATCATTTGTAAGCAGATGTATCTCACATCGATGTTGTAAAGTTTACATGAAATAATGTAAAAGTACTTACAGGAT